GACATCCAACCCGCACATCCAAGTGGTCACCTATCTAGGTAGGGCTTACCGCTACTCCACCTGTTTAGTTAAATTGAAGTGTCTTTGTTTTTTATTAGATAAGTATAAAAATGAAGCAACTTGAATAATAATACTTGCTTAAATATTCCGAGACCGGAGTACTAGTCTTAATTTGATTATAAAAAAATGGCGTGTCTACTTAAAGACTTGAGTACTTAAAACGATTACTTGGTTACTTATTTTGATGCATCATTTTACTTACAATTATTGTCGCGTGACGCAAATAATAATCTATGTATTATTTAAACAAATTAGCCGTAAATAGTGCCTTTTTTATCGTCATCCGTCATTTATAGTATGGTCGACTGAGAGATTTTTTTGTTTTTTACATTTGCATAAGTAGCGAAGTATACGTTCTAAGTGACGTAGTTAATCGAAATAAGTATTGCGTAATTTGTTGCCTTACTTAAAGACAACTGGAAAATAGAAATTAGAAAAAAGTAAAGAAATGAAAAGGAAAAACCTAAAACAAAACAAAAATATTCACTAGGGACAATATTTTGTACTTAATGAATTCCACCAATTGTACTTCTTTTTTAAGCAATTCGCCCTAAGCAAGGCAGGAATGCCACTAGCACGCAAGGGGTTACAGAGAGTGAAAGTAAGAGTAAAGAGGAGTATTTAGAAAAACAATAAAGAGAAGGACAGGGATCAAGGTGAAGGCATCAGATGTCGATTGACATTACATTTGAATATTTGAAGATTATAGCTATCAGGGAAGCAAGTAAGAGGAAGGGAGTTCCACTGTCGGGAAGTGCGAGATAAGAAACTGTTGGAGTAGAAGAGACGGTTACATTTAACAGTAAAAGGGTGGGACCGAGATGCCAACCTAGTAGCACGTTTAAATTCATGCAGTTTGGGAACTAGCGAAAGTAGCTCGCCTGAGCAGTTGTCATGAAAATACTTATAGAAAAGACTGAGGGAAGCCACAGCACGTAGGTGAGATAGCGACTAAAGGACCTTTCGTTTCTGCTTAACAGACCAATCATCGACAACATTTCCGCGACCAATTACCTAACTTGAGCATTAATTAACCCAAGCCATGATGAACTTAAGTTGCTTATTTAAAAAAAAAAAAAAAAATGGCTACCCATATTTGGGCTGACGCTCTGTTGATTTATTAAACTGTATATCTATTTATTTCCGTCTACCAATTATTAAAGAAAAATATGCACTCTCCGGTAAACTCGAACTTGTGTCCCTCCTTGGCAGGGGAAACCGTCATTAGATCCAACGTGTTTTAGACCGTATCAGTCATGGAGTGCATCTTCGATCAATCAAATTTGAATCCTGTTCCAGAGTTAACCGTTATCTTCTCCACCTATCCCTATAATTGTACCTCTTCCGTTGTAACCCTCTGCCTTGAATGGCTCTTAGGCCTTGTACTGGGTGAGCAATATTGTAAAAAAAAAGAACATTATTAGAAAACACGGAAATGGCTATAACTCTACATCCAGACAGAAAATCTGGAGTGGAAACCAGAAGGCGGTTGTCTGTGAAAACTGACATCAATCTGGCAACTCTTTCTTTGGATTAAATTGATACCGGAGAGGGTAGAGAGACGTGGTAAGGCAGCGCATTGCTTCCATATACCATCACCCAGGCTTACACTCCAGGTGGCGCTGATTTAAATATAACAACCTATTGTCTTATGCGTCATAGCCGAACTTAAGCGCTTATAGTTGTTATTTAGTTTTGGCTGACAATTTATCTAGGAGATGGGAAACTTTTAAAAAGCCTAAGGTCTGCTTGTAAAACATGGCAAGAGCGTGTTGAGGGAAATGCATAACCAATTGCTTTCCCTACGGGGGTAATAAACAGAGAAAGAAAAGAGGTAAAAAAATAACACTGCCTCAGAAACCACAGCACGTTGTACTCAAAGTAACTTTAGGAACAAATACCCACAGGACAGACTTCAGAAGACACCGAGTCTCGTCAACTGCTGACTGCTGCTTTTTAGACGCCTTTATTGACAGTTGACAGAAACCCGGATCTAGACATGATGTGGAGAGGCCCGTATCTGGAGATACCAAGGTGTTCTGTTACTAACGGGGAAAACAAGGATCTAACAGGGCATACTTTACATCAACTGTTGCTATCAGCAGTAGTAAAAAAGTATAAATGGTTCCGCACATTACCAACTTAAAGAAGTCACCGTGCGGGTAGTTCAAACATCTACTCACTGTAACTTATTTAAACCATCATAAAATGTTAACTAAAAGATTGCTAACGATGGAGTAACAGTAACGAAGACAAGAAGAGGGTACGTACAGAAAGTCCTTAGTACTTTGCACAGGTGGCGCCTCGGCAGGTGAAGGCCGTTTCTGCATTACATCTCTGGTCAGTTGTGCAACTTGTGCCCTCTGTGGAGTGACAAGGCAGGCCTACTTAGATGAAAAACTTCTTTTATGTTCCATGCCCCTTCAGGGCGAAGGCAATCATGGCCCTCCACATCTTCCTTTCTCTTGTAGCTCTTAATAAGTTTTGTCTTTTTGTTATTTCTCCCAAACCCTGTTCTGCCATCCATTTTCTCAAACTCATTAAGTGTGTCACGTGTTGTTTTCAATTGTCCCTCTTTCCCTTTAACTGTCCTGTGAGTATCAGATTTTCCAAACCCTCCATCCACACTAAGTGTCCCAGAAATTTCAATTGCCCCTTCCTGATGTTAAGTATAAGTTTCCTTTTTTCCATTCTCTCCAAAACCTCGACGTTGCTCACATTTTCGACCTACGGTATCCTCATCATCCTTCTGTGGTACAACAATATCCTTTTGCTTAGAGTTTCTTATTCATCTTTGAGGAGATTGTCCAGCATTCGAACCATACGGGAGGACAGATATCACGTAACAGTTCAGGGGCACCTCGGCGTGGTGTAATGGTTAGCAAGCTTGTCTTGCTATGTCAGTTTATACTGAAAAGTGAGTTCGATCCTCACTGGACGCCCCATGCTTTCGGCTTTGTGCCACATCTAAGCTACGCTTGGAAAACAACTATCACGTAACAGTTCAGTACTCATTTCTTTGTTTTCAATGAAACTTTCCTGTCTCTTAATACTCTGCTTAGCTTTTGGAAGGCACTTTGGCCATCCCAATACTTCTTCGGATCTCAGTGTCGCACTTTCCGTCCTCTGGTAGAAGAGTTTCCAGGTATTTAATTTTCTGTACCTGCTTGATTTTAGTGTTCGTCTCCTGTAATTTGCATTTTGGACTCATCTTTTTGCTGGTGACCATGCATTCAGTCTTCTTGTAGTTTATGATTAGTCCTTTCATCTCTCTGTCCTTCGCTGCCGACCGGCGATCCACCGGCGTTCGCTTCCATGACCCGGCGGGTAGCCTACGGGAAACTAGAGTTTGGTTCGCACTATGACAAAAAATAAACAAAATATTTTATTAAATTTTGGTTCTTTGAATATCCGGACCTTTTATGACGTTATCTTATTCGAAAGAAAAAAAACAGCTCTTGCGTCAAAAGTCATAAGTAAATACAATATAGACATAGAAGCAATTCGATTTCTTAATTATGGTCAGCTTGAGAAGGGGCAAGGTTATTATTTCCGGTTGGGGTGTCAATGAAAGCCGGGGACGCAGCACACTGTTCAGGTGCTGAAGTTGCTATCAAAACTAAGATAGGAAATGTAATGACGTATTTATCTGTGGTGAGTGATTTTTTCATGACATTAAAACGTTATTTTGCTAATGCTGCCACCATATACTTAATCAGTTCATGATTTAGCAAAACAACTTGGCCAAATGAAATGACAAAAGAAGGACAAGGCGTTTCATGGCAAATACCTAAAAAGAACGAAAGAATCAGATGTAGACCAAAAGAAAACATATCATTGGCTGAGGACCACCAGGCTGAGAGTTGAGACATAAGTCCTAATTATTGCAGCTCAGGATCAAAGCCTCGCAACCAGATCCTATCACTGTTACAAAGCTGGAACTAACCCGAAATGCAGGATCTGCAGTTTCCTTTCTGTGTTTGCTATCAGTAATGTGTCATCTGCATATCTTATATTGTTAAGATTGTGACCGCCAATGATGAATCTTAGTAGGCTTTCTAGTTCTCTCAGGATTGTATAGGTTGAATAAGTCCGGTGAGAAGACACATCATTGTTTTAAATCTCTTTATAATATAATCTCTGCTGAACTCATTTTCTCTCCGTGTGCAGGCGGTTTGCTGTTGGTATAGATTCTTGAATATTCTAATGTCTTTCCCGATTTTGCGAGGTGACGAGAAAAAGAGCCTTAGAAACTAGATGCGCATAAAAAATATATTATCTTACTACAGTCGAAGCACTGACAAAAATATACAAAATATATTATTAAATTTTGGGTTCTTCGAATATCCGGACTCTTTAGGACATTATCTTATTCAAAAGACAAAACTGCTCTTGTGCCTAAAGTCATAAGTAAATATAATAAAGACATAGAAGCAATTCAATTTCCTAATTATGGTCAGCTTGAGAAAGGGCAAGGTTATTATTATTATTATTTTTTTTTGGTCAAGGAAAGCCGGGGACACAACACACTGTTCAGATGTTGAAGTTGCTATCAAAACTAAGATAGGAAATGTAATGACGTATTTACCGGTGGTGATTGATCGTTTCATGACATTAAAACGTTATCTTGCTAATGTTGCTACCCTAAACTTAATCAGTTCCTGATTTAATAAATTGTGAAGAATCCGATGTAAGCAAATTGTATGAGAAAATATTTTCTATTGTAAAAACTATAGGTTATCATGATTAACTTTTAAGACTGGAGTAAATTCCATACCAAAGTTTGCCCAGATCATGAATCCTGAGGAAACGTATTCTTGTGCCTTGTCCCCTCATGACGTAGGCGATCATCTCTCCACGTCTTCATTCTTTTGTAGCTCTTAATAAATTTTGTCTTTCTGTTTTTCGCCTAGATCCTGTTCCGCAATCCATGTATTCAA